GATATTACCTACTGCAATATTTGTGCAATATAATGACAGGTAGATATCATAATAAGTAATTGTTCATGATTTTTACTAGAAAATTAATAGTTATAATAGTTATTTGAAGAGTCTTATTATTAAGACTTTAAGTGTACCTACTGTACCTATATTATTACCTAAGCCACCCATATTCGTCAAATGATCACGCCAATGTACCTACCTAATTGCGATATGAATTATTTCTACATGGTAGGTATAGAAAAATATTCGTTCTTCTTGATAAATTAATTTTGCCCACTCACATGTAATTTATGGTTGTATAGATAGTCAAACGCATCGCCTCAAGTACATACTCATGAATGCGTTCTAGTATTAATTCATATTTTTTTTTAATGCGTTAATGTATTGAAAAATATAATTTAATAACTGCAACACCGGATTAAAATATTCATAGGAAATTCGCACATTAGGTGTACCGAACATGTTATTGTATTCATTTCTCTACTGTAATTTGTTTATATAATTCTAGTACAACTAGTAGTTATAGTACCTATATTTAAATATCTTATTTAAATTTAAGTGTTTTAGATTAGTATTCAAACACTACTCCATCGATAAAATGTTTTCCTTAGAGGCGGATAAGGATTAAACAAAATTAAAAAGTTACGTACAAAAAAATGTGTTATGCCCATAATACAACGATTATTATTATTATTCGTGGTACTATAATGAACCATAAGTCCTATTATTGATACAATTAAATACTATTAAATGGCTGTATTATTATTTATACAGTACCAAACGATTAATTACATCGGTCAGTATAGCTATAGGTATGTACATAATATATAATATTATTATAAATGTAAAATCTATTTTTTAATGGTGACGATAGGTCAATTGTATCTTACAGCTGGTAATCAACAAGGAAATCGGTAAAAAATTTTAAATATGAATAGCCGCTGACGAAGAGTAGGTGCCTTGATGATCCCACAAACTGCAATGCACGGGGGGAGGAATAGCAAATTTAAACTGTTCGAACTATGCGACATTTGTAGCATGAAATGTTCGTTTATTACGTCTCCTAAGCTGAAATGCATACAATGTATCAAGTACATATATCACATAATATACCAATAAGAGTATAAATCAATAAAGAAGGCAATAACATATATATATATATGTACCAACCTACGACTAGCTATTCGTATTTCGTGTATTTATTATTTAATAAAGTGAACGATGACAGTTTTTTTCATCAACTCGTTTGAGAATTAATAATGTACTACATGTAGTAGGTAGGTACGATATTATTAGGTGTTTCTGGTTACTGTTTCAGTATGTTCCGCGTAACACCCGGACCGTCTGTGACCCTGTGTGACATAAAGTTTACTTGTGCCGATCCGGTATTATATGAAAAAAAAATGATGACTTACTCACGAATAATAATAATAAGATAAAGCAAGCTATTTCATTTAGCGTCTAATTTATTGCGTTAAAATGTCGACTTGCGGTTTAAAGAAAATCTTCTGTTGTTTGAAAAAATATGTCAAATACGCTCTACAGATTAAATAAATAGGTATATCGTATATATACTATATTGTATTGATTAATGCTGTGCTTGTACAATTGTACACTATGTAATAGGATGTGTGTGAACAAAAATGACGTAATTGAAACAGTAAACATCGAATCGCTGCTTCTTCATTATTGTATATAATAATAGGTATAGGTTTACCTAGAATGAAGAAAACACACAGACAACAACAACAAAATTGAATAATTAGGTGTTTAGAATTCTATTTTTTTTTTAATTCTTAATTTTTAATTTATATTTTTAGGTTGAATACGATTTATTTCTCGCATGTAATTTAGAGTGTACGGAATTTATTGGCAATTGTGTGGTTACAAACAAAATCGTGCCATTGCCATTTTTATTTTTTCAGGAAGGCCACTTCATTCGATTAATATATAGGTAGTGAAAACTTTAAAGGCAGGGCTACTGGATAAAGTCATATCCCACCTCCCAAGACAAATACCTAAATACGCCACTAGTTCGATATCTCGATAACAGTGAAGTATTTTTGGCATGATTTTAAGTGATATTAAAATCACAACAGTGGATTTATCACAAAGGATTTATTATTCTTATTATAAAATTAAAGATTATTTTAGACAATTTAAAGATTATCAAACAGAATAAAAAACTACTTTAGTACTTTACCAGAGTCGTAAGCTCGTAACTTTGTAAGTCATACTCGTCGTAATGAATAGTGATTATAAATGAAAATAGCAATCACTAAAAGTGACAGCTGGCATATTATAGCGAAAACATCGTTTGCGCCACCACGGAATGATATTGTGGCGCGCTCTTGCAGAGCTATGGAATTAACAACAGCCTGCTATGATCCAATCAAATCCTAAATGACACCGTGCCATTATCTCCTAAAAAAACATCTTAAAAATTATTTTTTAATGAATAAATCTGACTTCAATATACAGTGTGTTCACGCTAAGAGGTAGGTACCTCTAAATATTTCAGTTCGATGACCTTGTACTGAAATGGGGTTTTAACTGAATGACAGATAGTACTTAAGTACACATTTTCAGATAAATTTCAAATTTTTAACCCTCGATACGCGCATGCGCGATACAACTTGCTTTTTTTTAAACGGCAACATCAACTTTTTTTTACATATTCGGATAGAGTATTAGGATTAGAGCACAGTGGTTACTGCTTGATAAAAGAAGTCCGGTAAGTTGTCACTCACAGGATTTGGTATTGGCAGGTTGTCGGTGTGATGGTCGATGTGCCAGAGAGTGGTACGGCTTTATCAAACGTTTTATGCAGTTCCAAAAACCAAATTTCTTTTCAGCGGCAATGATCCTTTTCAGTCATCCCTGTGTTATCTGGTGGCATATAACACATATAAGAAAGCCACACGTCTCAACTATAAATAGGTACATGTTGATTTTTTAATCCCTGATTTTAAATACGGATCATTCTTTTTGTTAATAAAAAGGGCTTCACTAGCAGTGTCCCATTTTTTACACTTGATAATCTGGCAGTTATTTATTAATCCGTTAAATTTAAGTAAACACTACACTGACATTAATTGTTGTCTCCGGCTTACAAGTGCGTCGTAACATACAAAATTGTACTCTCAGCAGATCACGTTTAGCGCTGTTAATTTAAAAATTAAAGTGAATTGACATCTTATAAAATTTAAAGGTAAGATTATTATCTAGGGCTTCTCATTGGCTTTTTATTACGTTTTAATTTTGAAGCAAGTTACGAGTATTTTAAAATTGTAAATTGTTTGCACTTAAAATACTCATAACTCGCTTTAAAATTAAAATATAAGAAAAGGCCTATGAATCGACATTTATAAAAAAAAAAAAAAAACTAAAAATATTCTAAAGTATCACTTGCCTATATAGGCTATAAATAGCTTAAAACTAGTCTAAATATTTTGAAAATTTCATTCTGTAAAGAAAATTATAATTTACAACTCAAACTTTAAGTAAAATATGATAATTTATACCGATTGATATTTTTTGAATTGAAATCAAATAACAAAAATCGTTTGACGAGAAATCACTATTTTTCGTTTGAATATTGAATCTTGTCAAAATGTTAACTTCAAATGATTTCAAAAAATATATTTTGAAAATGTTATTAGGTATGTCTAGAAAATACTAATCTTAATTTTTGGTCAAAATTTCAAGTATCTGCAGTTTTTTATTTTTGAATTACAACAAAATAACATAATTAATAATTATGTCCAAAACTGGTGTTGTGTAAATATTCCAGTTTTTTTGTATCTATATGTTTTTGGTATTGTTTTTTTCAAATTATTTTTTCTCACACAAGTATAGTTATAGCGTCTTCAGACATGCACACAAAAAACAACATTGTAAAATCAATAAATTCATAACTCCACTTAGAACCTAAAATGTAATCATTATCGTCAATAATTTATTATATACCTGCTACAAAAATAATCATATAATATCGGTTTAAAAAAGTATCACTATTCATATATTTAAACAAAAGTTGAATCATATTATTTTATTAAAATTAAAGTAACCTTAAAGTGATACTATCCACTATAGGTATCTGTAATATGTGTATATTAATAAAGCAAACAGGGATAATAAAGGCTTTAAGCTTATTCCAATGGTTCCTTGATTCATTGAGACAACAGTTAGCTATTTTATAAACTATAGATCCATAGGTCAGTAAGTTGCTTGTTCATTACTTTAACTTAGTAATGTGGATACTATCGTGTATGACATGTTCATCACCTGAAATGTTTTAGCACAATAAGTTATTTCCGTATTATGAACAATAACTATAACAATATGAATATAATAGCCAGTGTCGCAACTATAAGTTCGTGTGCAAGGATTTATTTTGAGGATCCTTCAAATTAATAATATATTACGTGAATATCACAACGGAAATGAGACCAAGTATGTAGTTTATAGTGAAAACTTTCTTTTTTTTCACCAAACTATTTGACCACAGCTATTTGACACGTGTTTGTGCATTTATGCCATATTTATGCAGTGCATTTTAAATGAGTGATTACAGCTTCTAAAATGAGTGAACGATAACTAGAAAATAGATGTTCTTGATTCATACATTGTGGTTGATTTATACCGATATAGTTATATATTATACTAAAGACGTAAAAAGGTATTTATTTTAAACAGTTCCCATAAAATATCGTATACTCTATTAATACGTTTGGGTGGTGTAGTTAGTCTATATACATAAATGAATGGTTCAATTTGAAATAGGCATGTACGACACGTCATGTCATGTATATACTATATATATTTTCTAGGTAAGAGCATATTTAGATGGATGCAGAAAGTTGAGAGTAGCAAAGTCCAATAATTATTATTATTATATAAACCAAGCAAACAAGATGCGTTCTAAAGTCATCGTAGACGTGTGCAATGTGCATACAAAATGTACAAATAAAATAAACAACTGAAATATATTTTATTTATACCCTGGAGAACATTGCTAGATTTACGATGGAATTTGGTGACAATTTCATCACTTGCTTGTTAGCAGAATTCATGGACATGGCCAGCAATACAGTCTTTTTAAATTTTAAATCCTTGTCCGTCCAATCACAGCTATACAACCCGAAATTCACCGTAGATCTCTAGACAGTAAGTATAATAAGTACAATAAACGAATGAGATAGATAAAACTTCATCGACATGTTTGATCGATGGAGTTTTTTTTGTTTTACCCCGTCTTCTATGTAGTTGAATCCGTAGCAAAATATGTACAGTTCAATGGTGAGCGAAGCCAGTCCGCAGACATATTTCAAAATCATCGGAGATACAATCGAATTACCATTGAGGTACGCCTATGGACAAACAATTTAATTAAAAATACATTTTTTAAATTGCATTTTTACTATTGCCATTGTCATTTCTAAATAATAATCTACACTTACTATTGAGATGAGAAATATCATTGTGATTATGGTGTACGAACCATCAGCAATTTGAAGCAGGACCGTAGGTGTGACGATTTCGAAAAATGTTTTATACTTCCTATTAATATTATAGTGAAAAGAAACAAATTCTAATTCATTATTTTACACAATAATGGGTTATTGAAATAATTTTAAAGTACATATTTTTAAACTTTGAAATTGTATTAATAATAATATGGTTTAAAAGTTTTGATTGATTACCTACCAAATACCAATTTTATTAAACGTGATCGATGTGTGCCTGTTTAAGTATTATAAATACCTAATAGTTTGATTCATAATATAAAAACCCTATATTTTAGTTTGTACATTTACTTGGCATTATATTAATCATAAATGATAATATTGTATACTCACTCGACTATCTTTTGATTGTCTTTGATGTGGCTAATCAAATCGTCATAATAGTTCGGAAATGTCAGTGATACGTTGCTTTTAACCTCTGCAACACAGGTAAATATCATAATATTATTATGATACATATTATAACATTTAAATGGGACGTATTCATCAGCTGGAAAAATGAGATGGCTAAGAGAGCGGCGATTTGTCAATTCCGAAGACAAATTTTTTATAAACATGTGACCTGAAAATCATCTATGACATATTTTTTATCAAACATGTGCATATCAAACATCTGCATATATCATACGAGACAACTAATTTGTACATAATATCATTATGAATTATGATAGAACAAATGTTTAATGACAATTAAATTATTATTCTTACTTTTAGACTTGGACAAATCGTAGGGGGACACTATATACGTATATTACACCGGGCTATTTGTTATCGTCATATACGCGTGTTCGTTTCCCACAAACTTGGGACGGGACGCTTGTTAGAATATTGTGCCGTTTTAATCTCATTATCTATATGCTATTATATTATAGTATAATATGTGAGTAAAAGAAAAAAACCTGTACACGAAATAAATACAAAACAATACATTTACTGCGTTTTATATCGATACTAGTGATGATCAAAACAAGACCAAGACCAAGACTTGAAAATCTTGGTCTTAAAATCTTGGTCTTGGGTATACACCTGAATATTGGTCTTGGTCTTGCGCAAAACTCTTGCAAGACTTGCTATTTTCACAATATATATAAAAAAAAAAAACTAAATACTTGCTATAGCTGTGTTATTACTAATTACTAATTATTTACCAATATAATGTTTATAAAAATTAAATTGTTGTTTTTTAAAATGTGCACCTTAATAAATAATAATATTAAAAAAACTGTATGGTTTGTTCCAAATATTAAATTGCTTAATATCTATATTTGTTATAATGATAATATTTATTATTTATAATTAAACTTTTATTCTTTTTTTATTCACCAGTGTCCAGTTAATGTAATCAATGTATCAAGTAATAAATGTTTAAGTTTCTTATTAGCAATAGAGCAGCAAACTGTACTGTCTCTAAAATATCTTAAAAATTAAAAACGCTTGGGTAGGGTTTACACAATGTTTTTCAAATAAATAATATTATATGGTCACCCTATAGCCAAACATGCAATATTATATTGGTATTCGGTTAATGTCAGAAACACTCACCTGAATCGGATCTACGGTGGTCGTCGAACGGTTGTATGGTGTGCGGGTGAATTGGCTGCCCACGGCCGACCTTCTCGTAGCCGGAGCTCATGGTGCGGAACATGGCCTCGAACACGAAACACATGGTGACCAGGTAACAGTCGAACGACGTCCAGCAAAACACGTTGACCGTGAGTATGATGGACTCGACGACGTACACCGCCGCCCAGATGAAGGGCTTGTCGTCGTACTCGGATGCCAAGAACCACGGAATGACCAACCACACGATCAGCGTGCCGAAGCTGAGCCCTACGAACGTGCGGAGTATGGTGGACAGCCTGGCCCGGCACCGGCGCATCAGGGACGGGTCTCGGCCACCACAACCGGTGAAAGCGTACCGGGCCACCTCCAACGTGGTGCATATCCTGTCCGCGTGAATCGCTAACGTGTAGCCCTTGAGCAAGCACATGAACCCATACACAACCAGCATTGCCATATTGGCGAACATTGGGATGTCGTGCCTGGCCAGGTACAGCCGGAACACCTGCATCAACTGCAGCCCGACCGTCAGCCACACGACGACCACAGCGGCCATCCGGCACAATCTGCTGTTCAGGCCACACTCGACCGGGTGCAGCAGCTGGTACATGCCGATCGCCTTAAACAACTTCACGTCCATGGCCGTGCCGCCGTCTTCGAAACGGTAGTCTCTTTCATTACTCGAGTTATCCTGATGTATTGTCGTCTCATCACCACCGTCGTCGTTGGTTAGTGCTTTTGAGGCTATTTTCGAACGGATCCTATGGACAAGTGGAATTCGTCATTGTGTACTTAAGTAGGGTGTTCGAGTTTCCGCGCAAATCCATCCCAAACCAATGAAAACAAATAATCACCAAGAGCCATTCCGGTGCATGATAGAACTTAAAAGGATTTCCTTCATTGAATAATTTAGGTACTACCTATATTGAATGATTTGGATATACTAAATTTCAATTCAATGATAATTCACTGCACCAATACAGAAAAACGATTCTGAGCAGTGTTGGATTTTATTGGCGACTATTGAATAAAGGATATTATTTTATTACATATTTATTATTTATATTTTATAGGTACCTACAATAAACCTACCAAAGAATTAGTTCATCTGTAATTTTTTTTTTGTATCAATACAAGTGTAAGACGATGGGTTGGTTATTACCACAGTAAATTTTAGTATTATACTATAATCTACCGTGGTTAATACCTATAATATAGTGTCATCAACTCATAACTTATGTTCGATGTACCGTAAGACATTGGTTCGTTTTATAAATATTTTTAAATTAGTCTGAATAATTTGAGAATGTCATTGTGTAAACACAATAAATAAAATAAAATAAAATAAAAATCTATACTATTTTAATATTATTAAGTAGAAAAATTTCTTTTTTTGTTCAGGGTAATCTCTGGAAACTTAACCGATTTTAAAAAACCATTTTTATCAAAAAGCTACACTATCCCAAGGATTCATAGCTAATATTTTATCTCAATAAGTAGCTCTTAATTGATTTATTGCAAATTTAAGAATTTAAGGATTTTGAGATGTACGATATAAATTTTTGTTTATAAATGGTGGATTTCAGTTACAGCTTACAGATTTTAATATTAATAGGATAAGTAAATATTTGTTGCCATTGGTTGAATCTCGAGCAGATGAGGTAAAAGCATGTATCAAATCGTCACGCTTATGATTTTGAATAAAGAAATTATATCTTAAGACAATTTATATGAGAGATGAGTGTATGTTTGTAGCTTATATAGTTGTATAGGTACTCAAATACTACTTAACTAATTTTGTGAAAATTTCAAATGTTAATCGGAGATATCCGGAAAAGATGAAAAGATATATTGTTTATATCAATAAATTCCTTATTGAGACTTTAAGGGTGTTTATATCTTATTTTTCAACTTCTATGGGTAGCTAAAGGGTAGCTAACACTTGATTTTTTTCCAGCTTACCAAAAAAGAAAATGTTTTTTGATTATCTAAATTATTGCCAGGGCCAGCGATAAGTATTTTGCCGCCTCGTGCAATTAAAAAAAATGCCTCTCCTTTCAACAAACCGTTGCCATATAATTAGTAGGTACATATGTGTTTATATAAAATAAAAAAATTAATTATAAACTGGGTTATAATATAGGAGATCAAACGGTGAAATTTCGTCTTCAGAAAATATAAAATAACTTAAGGATATTAAATTTATTATAAGTAGGTTAAATTAAGGCACAACAATGCCTTTATAATGTGTTATAAATAAAAAGAATTTTATTTTACTTTATAAGAATAAGAAAAAATACAAATCATAAATTTATTTAAATTGTTACACTTCATTGTTCAACTTAAAACTAATAACTTTTATAAATTCAAGTTATTGGGTTATTTTTTGCCGAGAAACTTGAAAATTGACACTTATCATTTGCTAATAAATATCATCTCGAATTTCTTATAAAAAAATTTGATTGTTTTAAAAAAAGGATACCTAACTTAAATTGTATTATAAATATCTGTATGTAATACAGTTGAATTCGGAATTACATAAAATAAGAACACAATGTATGGAAATAATATATTTTTTCAAATCCCCACGGTCCCTGATTATTGCTATTGGTCAGGTAATATTATAATTAGAAGAAACTACTATAAGAATACTAATATTATAAATATAATAAAAAATATAATAAAAATATAATAATAAAATATAATAAATAAAAATATAATAAATATAATTTAAAAATAGTTTGTTTGTTTGGGGTAATCTATACGGAAGTATGTTAAGTAGTTACTTAACTTGATTGTACACTAAAAAATCATTTTTAAAGTAGTGCTTGCACGAGTATTTTGAGATTTAAGATGGCCGATGAAAATTTTTAATTTTTGAACTCTATTACACCGAATATTAAATAACGAATTGAATGAAGTATGAATATTATAGAATTAACATTTTTAATGGACAATGAAGTACACGGGGTCAGAATACAGTACAATTATAACGAGTTTCTGGTTTCTACTTTCTACGATTATTATTATTTAATTATTACAACAAAATAATGATTATCGATTCAGGACAAATCGTCATTTTTCGTCTTAATATACAATTTTGTATACATTTGAACTTCAAATGCTCATAAAATTATAGCAGGCATTATTGTACTATTGTATTAGAATATAATATGCATACCTATACTCAGTGTGAAATTCCTGTCCACAAAGGTTATCAAATAAAAAGTGGAAATCTAATGACGGGATCCAACAAACGACTTATACCTACGTGGCCATATTATGTCGTATTAACAAGTTGCCAAATAATATATTATAATATAGTTTTGACTTAATTCATTCAAATTGAATTTTGATTTGTCTATCCGGACAGCCAATGTGAAAAACAAAACTTACATTTTATGCTCCGCTGTCTAAGTGTTTCTTGCACGAGTTTATAGTCTCAGCCGAGTATCTGTCTGTCGAAAGGACTTTACGTGAATGATAATAATAATGTGTGTGTACAATACACAAAACAACAATTTACTATTGACCGCAAACATAACCCTCTCTGCCCTTGTGTTACCATACCTTATAGCACCTATGCAATTATTTTATTGCACTGTAGTCCAGTGTGCAGTACTGCGGGGCGTACATAATATAACACTGCTGCAGGCAGGTAGTACACATTTTAAAAATATATGTAGAGCATTAGGCTAGCCTATTCTAGGGTCTTAAAAGTATTATACGGGGTGATTTGTCAATCTGACTATTATTATCTTTAGTATAAACATTTTAATAACTGAAAAACTCTACTCCTTCGAATTTTGAATCAGGCGTATCAAAATTTTATCTACTAAATAGTTTACGGTAAAATAGGCGAGGGGAGGGGTGGATGTCTTATTAAAAAAAAAAGTTTTGTTTGTATCGCCACAGGATACTCTATAGACGTACAAGAAATCTCAAGAATTTTAAAATATGATCTTCACAAGTAAGTAAATTTCAAAATTTCAATAAAATCGTTATTAAAGGGAAAATAGGAAAGAGCATGCTTGGCGAATCACCTTGTATAATATTATGAAATGTGTATTTATTTATTTTCTCCGAAACCATATTATTATGCATCTCAGAATACGCGATAGAGTTATTAATATTATATAGGAACTTCGGTATACGTATTTTATTTTTGATCCCTGGGACGATTTTAATACTTAATCGTATTCTCAACACGCAATCTTTATTTTGTAAAACACGATTTCTTTACCGCATTCAGTGGAAATACAATATTATAATGTAGGTAGGTATGTGCGTTAGTGATTTGTTTATTATTATTATTTTTTTATTTTTTTTGAATGCATACGATTGACGGTAATATAAAAATTATTATTATTACCATGCCATTGATGTTGTTGGCAAAGTACTCCGTAATATATAAACGATTAGAATGTAATACAAAATTACTGATTCATTAAAATATTATTTGTCGTAAAACTAATGATTATTTAGTGCAACCGTTTAATTTATTGTAAGTAAAAGACTTTAAAAAGTGTATATAGATAATAATGTAGAAACTAATATCGAAAAATTATTTTTGAGTAAGTAATAATGCCTTTGAAGTCTTCAATTGAAAATTGAAAATCATAAACCAGTGAAATTGTGTTTTTATTATTGCCATCTACACATTAATTAAGCTACTGAAATTTATTATAATATTAACTAACTAGGTACATTGTACAAAAATTATTGTTACCCACCATTTAATGGCTATTATTGGTAGGTAGGTACATAGAAAAACTGAATAAAATCAATGAGTGCTGTCACGGGACACCGGATAGAAACGAAGTTTTTTTTCCAACAAATATTATAGATTACAAATACATTTTAGTGAAACCATTCAAAATAAAAGTAAATGTGAAAAATACATGAAAATGAAAATTGTTATTATTACTATTTAAATACTATTATATTAATCATATTCAATAATCGAAATTACAGGCCTGTGATAACTGAAATATGGTACTTATGTTTGTGATGTAATTTTTTCCAAATATCTTGAAAATACTGTATCGATAGTGGTGTCATCTCACGTTGTAGTCTTGTAGATTCTGCTGGATTGTTTATCATATGTAAATTGAATGTACCCATAAGGAAAGTTTTAAAAGTTTCCGATTTATTATCATTAAAATAGATGTTAAAGTCACCAAATTGTTATAATTTATAAATTATAATAATAATAAATGCATAATATGCAGATCTTATTACGCTGTTTCAAATCCTATCGCGTTATACCCGTTTTCTATTACCTAGTGTCCTAGTCTATACCAAACGTGACACACAAAAAATGTAATCACGGCAAAGGTAAAGCACTATATAGAGATAGGTATATGCAACAATCAGATTATTCTACGAAAACAATTTCATGAAATAAAAATGTATACGCGTCATGCACTCATGCAGGGAGATTATAATATGTATATAAGATGTAATCAAAAGTTTATGAAAAAGGTCGTTTTCCAACGCTTCAACAAACCAAACTTTCGATGAAGGCGTGACAAAAAAATATATTACCTACGTACAATTCAATACTTATAAATATCACATATATTATGACAGATGTATTTATGAACTATAATAATGTAAAATAAATGCATAATATATAAGTAGTGTGGAGAATGGAGATGTATTATCAATAATTATATTATCAATATACGCAAGATATTTATAATCAACTATTCTAATATGCTGAGTGTTTTAGTTGTTTTAACTTTAACCGAAAACCACATCTAAAATCCTTACCATTTCCAATTCAACATGGGCCACCATCAGTGCGTACTAACTAGGAGTATTGACTTGTTTGCTGTATTTTAAATTGTTGTCAAATATGACAAGGAATTTGGAAAAAAGAAAGAAGAATTTGGAAATCATGTTCTTGGTGACAATACACTCGGGTTGAGTCGGGTACAGATAATGCTATGATATTATGTATAAAACGTTTAGCAGTCACCAAATTTTTGTTTCCAAATTCTACAAAGCCGTTGGCTATCTATGTATGTTTAATCTATGGTACTGGTGTATCAGTAATGTGCCAGTACTTATAGTCGGTACTTGCCTTTAGTACTGTTATAGTGTAAACAATACAAACCGAAATATATTATAACACAATTTTTATAAGGTTTTCTTACTGCCCTATCCTATTCAGAAATATTGGTTACGACACAACACCATTTAAATGTCTCACTCGGACCAAATCCAGAAGACAATATCTAAACATTAAATTGTATGAAATAAATTAATATGTTATACAAAATAGGTATATTGTCATTTGTGAAAAAAAAACAAATATAGGTATAAATTAGAAGTGTAAGTGTCAAGTGTGTAACCAATGGTCATATAATAGCCAAAATTTTAATTCAGGTCAATAAAACAAAGTAAAAAAAATATACCTATTATCATCACTAAAAACACTATTCAATATTATAAATAGTAAGCAATTTTCTGTGGCCTGGTGGCTGCAATTAATCATGCAAAGTCTGCTGTCACTAGCTCCCGGATGGGTGACCACCCGGGTTCGTAATGGTAAAAACCTTGCATTCACGTGTTGCTAACCTACAGTTTCAACCGCACCAACCGCACCATCAGTACCAACCGTAATCTCTGCAATAGCTAATGGCCATAGTTGCCGGGCTAAGGATAAAAAAAAATTTTAAATATTTTCTATGATCTATAGGTAACAAACCCAAGATTTTAACTTATGTTGTATATAACACAATTATTACTTTCTGAAACTCATACAATTTTTCAATAGTATGCAAATAGTAAGTAAGACTATATGGATAGCTTATAATTATTTTGACCATTGTAGACATTTTGTTCAAGCATCAACTAAAAATATAATTTAAGTACCTATCTATTAAAATATAATAAATACATACATTTTAATTAAACCAATAAATATAAATCTAATATTAAATTCATGTTCTGTACAATGTTTTTTAAGATCTTGAATTTAGTAACACGGAAACGGTTGAGTATGACATGTTCATCACCTGAAAATTATCAATGATAATTATACTATGTTTAGTTTATATTTAAATTTAATTCTTATACAAAGACACAAAGTTATATGAATTTAGTTAAAATTCCAAATTTTTATTTTCTATAAATTATTATGTATTTTATGTAGCACACAAATGTGGTATCAAAATACTATACACATATTAATTAATATACATATAAATAGTAATATAGTAATATATACTATTTAAAAAAAATCATTTTAATATTATTATACACAGTAACACCTACTCTAGCAAACATTTCCAGGCCGACGGCGGAATTAGGCGAAACTTTCATCGCTCGTTTATGGGAGGAATTCATCTTCATAGTCAACAACATAGTCTTTTTAAATGTCAAATCCATTTCAGTCCAATTGCTACTGTATACTCCGAAATTTAGTACAGATTTCTGTGGACAGCACAAAATTAAAGAGATTAATATTATAAACATCATCATTGTTGGTAAGAAAAAATTTGATTGTTTTACCGCAGTTTCAATTTGGTTGAATCCGTAACAATAAATAAAGAGTTCAATAGTAAGCGATATTAACCCACAAATAAATTTTAAAAACATTGCTGATAGAACCGGAACACCCATGAGATACATCTAAATAGTAAAAAATAGAAAATACCTATATTGAAATTTAATAAAAGAAACAACATTATCTTCTTTTCACATTAACAACTACAGACAATGACTAAGTAAATAATAAGGTATTACGCACATCGGACATAAACCATTTTCAAGTAAAATATTAATTTGAAGCTAAGTGTGTAAATAATAATGTCTTTGTATATAGTCACCTAGCCTTTCTTGTAACGAAACAGAACCAATCACAGCCTTAACCAGTAGGCTCTATGTTAGACTAAGTCAGACTGAGACGTAATCGAAATAACCGTTGAATATATATTTTTAAATAAATTACATTTCAAATGAAGATTGTAGATAATAAGTTTATAGATTTTTAACTAGTAATTATAATAATCATCTACAGTTGATTCTCGAATCTCGAGAGGAATAAAAAAATAAATTCTAATTATGTATTAATTTTCTATTTGCATACCTAAAATACAACTTAAAAACACTTTCTGTGACAAGAAAAACTTTCGAGTTATTGAAACATGACTGTATAAGACTAGGAACTGGTCCAGTGGCTCTCAACCAAAAATAATTGTTTATTTATATTTTTCGTACTCAAAGTATAAAATAATAAATATATACGACATTATTATGGCATTATGATTTATGACGTTATACGTGGTGGTAAAAAAACACACATAAGAAAAACAATTGTCAAGATAGTCTCCTTCTCAATGTTCATATTATATAGCCATATAGGTTTATAAAAGTTACTTTTTCAAAAACCCATTGACCGTTTTAAGCGTGTGGCGTGTCACCATTTTTATGGATCTAAAATCTAAATATTAGAGTGTCGTCATGAAAACAAGGTTGAGAAGCACTGATCTAGTCACTGGGTGTTAGCATAATATTTTGTAAGAAAAAGCTTACCAGTGCGGTGAGGAATATTAACGATATTACTGAATATGAACCGTTGGCAATTTGAACAAGGACAACGGGTTGAACGACTTCAAAAAATACGTCAAATATCCTAAAAGTATAAAAATGTAAATTAAATTAAGTAAGCAAATGCAGGGAAGTATGACAGTAGATGTATTATAGACAGTAGGTACTAGGTTTAGAGTGTACTTCGTTATTGAGAAAGTTACTGTGTAAAGGTTGTGTTCAATTTGAACTCAATGATAAATCGTTGCATATGCGACTAAGGGATACTGAGTGGAGAAGACGTGTCTATATTTCTAAAAGAATATTTAATAATTGATTAGTATTATTAATATTGGCCATCTATTCTTATAATAATACAATAAGTTCGTCTAATTTTCGTCAAGCAAATATTAAATAGATAATTATTATTATCATTTTATATAAAATATTATTATTACATGTTATAATTTATAATTCAATACGGACGTACCTAGGTGCCTTAGATAAGTTCATGGTATAAATACTTATAAATTATAACTATATCATTATTATAATATGTACCTACTTTTAATCGTATGCTTACTTGATTAATTTTTGATTGTCCTGTATGTGACTGATCAAATCGCCGTAATGATTCGATTCTATATCATCAAATTTTATTCGACGAACACCTGCCAAATTACAATTTGAAGATACTTACTATTAGTAATATGCTAAAAAATTATAAATTATTAGGGTAATAGCCTGCTGTAGAATATGAGATCAATTACTGCATGTAATGCAGCAAGTAGGTATTTCAGTATTTGTAAATTACTTATATTTTACACGATATTATATTGTATACCTGTAGTATACAGACTGTAATATCTAATGTTACTATAATAATTGTTGAAAAACAGATTTGGAAACAGAAATGTCAATAGACATTATGTAGTATTAAAAAACCGATAAATATTAAAAATTAAAATAGGTACCTATATTATGGACGAAATCGGGTGACAATACCAATCAAATCTGACTCAATACAAATTTTGACCCTGTATGGTATTGCTCATGGCAATCGACGGTGGTTAGGTATTTTTTTATAATTAATTGTCAATTGTTAAATTACTAACAATCAGTTTTAGTGAAAAACTAGGAATTTTCTTTTTATCAATTTTAGTAAAAAATTATAAATTAAAATATAATATATATATTTAAAATTATATATTATGGTGCCTTGGTGTGGCGCGGTGGCCACAATCGGTCACGGCACGTCAATAGCGACCCATGCATTATAGTGACCCACTTACTGAGACACCTACTGTATAGAAGACCGGTACCCGCTTATCCATTTTTATTACACCTAGGTACCTAATTAATGGTGACGAGTAGGTATTTATTTCATAATTAGTATTACCTACCACTTGAGTTTATTATTTAGGCATTAATATGATAACAAACAGGGCGTTTATAGCCATATAAGATACCCGAGAAGGACGTGTCCGGTGGAGAGGACTCGGTGCGACGAATTCCGAGTTTGCCGTAACCGGCCGACATGGTGTGGAACTGGGCGTTAAGTACAAAACACATGGTGACCAGGTAGCAGTCAAACATCGACCATATGAACACGTTGACGATGCACACGTACAGCTCGATGACGTAGATGAGCGCCCAGACGGGACGCGAGTTGTACACGGCCAACGGCACAGGGTACTGCATGTTGTGGATGGTGGTGCGGTACCGGGTGACGGTACCGTCCAGGTTGGTGACGCCCGTGTACTCATCGACGAAAAACGGCAGCGCGATCCACACGATCAGCGTGCCGTAGCTGAGCGCGACGAACATGCGGAGCCCGTGGGACAGCGTGGCCCGGCAACTTCGCAGCTTGGACGGGTCGCGGTGCCCGCACTCGGTGTACCCGTAATCGGCCGCGTTCAGCACTAACCACAGACGGTCCGCATTGGTCACCAGCACGTAACCCTTGAACGAGCACATCATGCCGTATATGATGACGGCGGCCATGTACGAGAACCGCTGCAAGTCGTTGAGCGCGTAGTACAGATAGGGCACCTGGAACGAGTGCACAGCGAACGATAGGCCGAGCGCGGTCATCAGCGCGCGCCTGAACCGGACGCTGTAACCGCCAAGGTCGGCAGGGCACAGCAGCTGGTACAGCCCAATGGCCTTGAACAGCATCACATCTACTACCGTCGCTGACGATGACCACATGACGGACAGGCAATGGCGATGGAAACACCGCTTGTCTATATTATTATATTATCCACTATAGCTGAATTACCCGCGGCCGTTGCCCGTGGACAGTTTTGAAAGAAATCGTACCACCTATTTAATTTAACTAATTTAATAAATTTATATGTTAAATAATAATTATTTATTTGTTTATATATTTTTGATTACTTCGTATGCATTAAGTTCGAAAATTACATTTAATTTTGTATTACATTCGAAAATACATTGTTTGTTTCGTACAAAACCACTTCGTTTTACCCGTAAATATTATTTTTATGTAATTATTACAATTTGCTATCTTACATTTTTTTTTTAAATTTTCATATTATACCATATACTATACTGGTCATACTAGTATTATAATCTGTAATCAAAGGCCTGTATATGATAGTATACAGGGTGATTTACCAAATATGCACAACACAATTTTCCTATAGTACTTAATTTCTTCAAATTACGATTTTTGGAAATTTTAAATATATCAACTTAAATATCTACTTTTTTCAAATTCTTAAATTTGTTTGTTCTATTTAAGGAGTGTCTCCTGGGTCTATACACACTTTTGTTTTTAAAATGCAAACATTTTTTTTACTGTGAAATATTCAGTGGATAATTTGTTTGAAAACGTTGATCACCTAATTTAAAATTCAAAAGATTAGTTTCTCAACTATTTAAATATGTGCACTTTGTACAACCTTAGGAAAATAGTTCTTAAAAATGGTTTTACAAAAATATAAAATATATGTAATATTGGATCAAGTATTTATTATATATTTGAACTGAAAATTATTAATGCTGGCAGATTAATATTAATCACTAAAATTTTGAAATCACCTTCCCCATTTCTTATTCACTATTAGACCTACTATCCTTTGTAGGTACACAAAATTAAATAACTAAAAAACTGCTTGTACAAATTTTGATTCTGATGCATAACAATTTTCAGAAAAATTATTTGCTAAATAGTTTACTTTAGAGGGTGTGAGGGGGGTCGTATGAAAAACAGAAGTTTATATCTATCTCCACAAGAGGTACAAACGAATCTCAACTGCATTATTGAAAAAAATGAGGTGGTCCAATTTGTTAAAAATTGTGGATTTTTATATGTGTAATTTATATATTATACCTATCTCATAATAGATATCTGTTATATTTGCTGACTTTTTGTTCTAACCTCTACCATCGATATATCGTATCCTTTTTACTTCTGACAAAAAATCTCAGTTGTTTTTTAAACTTTGTCTCTTATATATTTATAATATCTGTTACTCAATTTTACATTTATATAGAATAGCTTTATTATCCTAAATTACATAATATGATACAATAAAAAACTACTTTACTATATTCAATCATAATAACTATTTTATTATCTGTAATCAATTATTCGATTTTCGTGAGCCGAAACAAAATGGTTCTATGAGCCATCCTATAGCGACCTATATATAGGTTGAAAAACCAAGGTCCAAGATACAAACCATTTCCTAGTCTCAAGGAGTCTATTGATATTATTTTTATTGAGAACGATCCAGTAGTTTTTGAATCTATAGAGGATGAACAAACAAACAAACATTCATTTACATATTAGAAGATTATAATATAGGTAACAAGAACTGCTCATATTTTATCTCGTGCATATAATGTTTATAACTTTACTATTGTACGACTTATATAATTGTATAATTTAAATTATTATTAAACGATTATATTCGATAAAAATATATATCCTACTTACCTATATAACACATTAACACTCACTCAAATAATGTTCAGTATGAAGGGCAAACGTAAGTACTATAAACTATTATAGACAGTTTTATTAAGGCTACCATATTTTTTTCGAGTAGTTGGAATTATGCGTTTAAATAATTACTACAACATGTAGGTATTATGTATTTCCATACAAATTTACAATTACAATTGTTTAAATCGACAAATTTTCATTAGCCTTTTAAAAATATAACCATATTATACTTTCTATACTTTAGGTATCGAAAAGGTACGCTTAGAATTATTTATCCATCATATTATAATCTGGATAAAAATAAGATTATCTTTATCTCTATCTAGATAAATGTAGGTGTACCTTTATAAAGTTGTCTTTATCTTGTCGAAAATTAAATCCTTCCAAAAACATATATGTAAAATGAGAGCCAAGTTCAATACTATAATGTATACCTTGGTTGTTGACTTCAACGACCAAGGCATTTATTATAGTATTGAACTTGACTCTCATTTTACATATATGTTTTTGGTGGGATATCATTACTTTTTATATGCAAATTATTATAACCTAACCTAACCTAGCCATGACGTATTCTATAAATAAAGTTTATTACTATAAATATTTCCTGTTGTATACAGAGTATAAAATATTTTAAGTAATTCATAATCGTAAGATAAATTATTTAATTATTTTAATTGTAATTTTTTTTTAAATTAATATTAATTACATACATAGAAAAAAAAGTGTGTTGCTGAGCGCGGGTTGCGAATATCGACACATATTCGACTGGACGTATTTTTGGAGCGACGATACGGTTAAGGTTAGCTGAGCTATTTAAGTCAACATTACATTAAATTACATTGAATTAGTGGCACTTAATTAATTAATTGAAAACTTATAATAAAATCAATTGATTAAAAAATTTTAAATTTTCAAGTTTCTGATTTTTTCCTTTGTATTAACCTAACTACCTATCTGTATGCCCAATTTGAACTTTCTAGGTCATCTGGAACTGGGTTAGAATTTTGATCTATAGGTCAGTCAGTCAGTGATAAAAATGACGACATTGAGACGTTAATATCTAAATAACGGTTTGAGGTGTGCTTATGAAATTTGGAGCACATATGTATCTCATAAGTTTGAATATATGAGCCAAATTTGACATGTTTATGTGGAATATATTTTGAGTTATGAGAGGGTCAAAAGTGGCTCCAAATGGTTCGTGTAATATTACACACAATGCTCCTCACCAGTTCTGTTAGCTAGAACTTGGCTTGACACTCTACCGCGTGTCTAGATTGTTGTTAGATGTTATAAACACTTAAGATCGACGATGCCGACCCTGCATCTTTACAGGTATAATAGGTCAGGTACAGCTTCAGTAAAGCCAGATATCATTTGATATAAAAATAATCATCGTAAAATAACATTAACTTTTGGTTTTATACCTGTTAGGTAGGACAGTACGAGGTGTTCTGTGTGAATTACTATAAATATTTTATACCTTTGAAATACAATACAACTGCACTCTGCGTTTAGCGGCAGAGACGAGGAAGATAATAGGCAATAGTGGTACCTGTTATACTTTAAAGGTATACCTAGGTATAAAAATGTTTAATGTATTCAATTACATCATTTATATTATAAATTATTATCGTATATTACAATATAGAGTGAATATGATTATTTATTATGTACATTATTATTTACCTTAGAACAAAAAATTCTGTCGTCGAGTCATTGGTCGACATCGATTTAGAACTTCTATAATGAACACTGTGTGAGCAACGGTAGCCGACTGACGGTTTAGGATTGCCATTGTATAACGATCATAAATATATAGAAAATTAACTTTTGAAATATAACGTGATCTATTATTAAACAAAATTAATTATTTATACAAACTCAAAAGTTTGAGTTCTAGGATAGGACTGAGGAGTGGACTTGTAGAGGACATCACATAAACTTTTACTATATTGCGCCAGTACTACTCTGGTTCTTTGGATTATTAAAATTGCTGCTAATAAATTATTTACATTAAATGATTGGTTTAACATAAGGTTTTTTTATTTTATAATATTTAATTGTATATATTTGTTATTGTAGTATAAAAAAATATCGTTATAAAAATAAATTAATTTGACCCCTCATTATACTTGAGAGGTCACCATTTAAATAAATTCTTATCGAAAATAAATCAAAATGTTGAATAACTATAAATTATAAGTTTCAAATATTTTTAGACCAATGTTCAATCGGCTATACATTAAAATTTAAGGACTTCTAAATAAAGTTTTAAACTAATAATAATATTAACAAAACCAAAAATATTGAGAGTTTCATCGTAGTATATATTGGTACTTCATAAAATAAATTGTTTTTGTGCGAAGTGTCAACTTGAATAATTGAATTAGGCAAGTATTTAGGGGGGGAAAGGTACCCTGTTGTCCAGCGTGGGAAATTTACATATTATTATTGTGTATTAATTGTATCAACAAAATAAATACACTTATATTACATATTTTTATTTTTATTTTTATTACAATAAGTAAAACCATTAAACGCTTATAAAGAAATCATTGTATTGATTTTTGTTTTACTTATACTTTTTTTTATAAAATCTACAATATGTTTATTCAACATTGGTTTTCCTAAAGATTTAAGAGATAACTAATAGCTGAACGAATGCAGTTTAGCTCCAAAGCGATTTTTGAGAATTTTTTCTTTAAAATGTGTGTTTTTGCATGCTTAATATGATGGAACTTTAAAAATAGTCTGTTAAATTTATTTGGAAGTTATGGTTAAAAAAACTTCAGTAACTTCAAAATCTTGTAATGAAGTTTAAAATACAAATAATAACATTTTTGATTTTTTTTTTTTTTGGAAATTATTCATTCTTAACATTTTGGTAAATTCAGAAATTATCTAATATACTTACTTTATATTTTATTGTCATAAAGTAATTTAATAAAAAAAAACCACTGACAGGTGGAAATACGCAGACTCGTGGACTTTAAAAGGGTATAACTTTGAAACTAAGTCTGACCAACAAATTCTGACTGTTCTTAACTCATTAAATGCAAAGGTTTCATAAAATAAAATCTAACCTCATTTATGCTACAAAATAGTACTTAGTTATATTATACCTTACATTTTCAGAAATAACTTTTTTGGGTGGCCCGGTAAAATCCCTGGACACAAAATGTTCAAATACAGCCCTGGATTGAATTACAAATAATTTAATTTGTTGAATATCTTTGATAATTATTTTTAGTGTAATTTTATACAATAATATTTTACATAGGTAATATCTCGTTATTCTCGTTTCTTTGAACTATTTATTTTATATTTTAAATGTAATTACCTATTCACTATTAGTAACATAATAACATTTAAAATATAATAATTGGCACAAGTATAAGTAATTAACATTATAATATTATAATATTTGTGTTCTAGAATAATTTAATGCCTACTGACGTTAAAAATGTCGTTAGTAGTTAATACCGATATTATTTTAATCTACTTTTGAATAGATATATTTATAACAAACTGAACTAATTAGTTTTTACTAAACTTTTCGTCTGAAATAATAAACTCATGATGTCAGATGTAGGTAGTTATAATATAAAAAATATAAAAAATAAAAATATTGAACATGATATTATGTACCAAACACAATTTTTTTAATAATTTCTTTTTCTTTATAATATGTATATTAATATTATATTATACTATTTACACGGCTACACTGATTAACAAACTTTTTAGTGTATTGTGTAAGGTGGATAATACGTATTGTAAGACACTGTATAGTATTTAATAGATATACAATACATATTCCTAAAACTATAATACGACTATACCCGTTTATAATATTATCAAATGTAAAAATCGATAGACAACATAATGGAGGATATAAATAATTACAATTAAATGAAATAATACTATTATATAATTATAATGAATTACCTATACTAACTACATAGTTCAAAATATTATTACTTACTACTACAGCATGATTATACTTTTTTTTACCACAAATATCATTATTTTACACAATTGAGATAGTTGATAATAATTAAAAAAACATTGCTATTGGATATACTCGTATACTCAATCTACTGTATAGGTATTTAATATTTTGCCAGAAATCGGTCTACGTCTTTAAAGCACGTCGCACGGCGCAGAGTTGTCAATGGAGTAATAACCGTACATGCCCAGATTTAATGTTGTGAAGACAGACTTTACAGAGTTTACGGAAGTAACAACTCAAAATTAAAATAAAACTATTATCGAGTTTTGTATTATCAATCATTTTTTCTCTAAAATATAAATTATAATATAATATTCGTAAATGATTTGAGGGGGCTAAAGCAGCCCCAACCTATATACGCTATGTACATTGTACACTGGAGGAATAATACAATAATATTATTATGGTGTACGACAGTGAAAATTCGAAATTAAATGCAGCAGACGTCTTCGATGTGCATTAGATGAAAAAGACCGTGTGGAAAATAAATATAATTTAAAAAAACGATTTCAATCATCATGTGTGTACAGCAGTCTGGCTATGACTTTGGACCTCTTCTGCCTGAGAGGCCAACTTGGGTACGTCTGCAACGGCTGTAAGTGCATCGCTGAAGGTTGCAGTTGCGATACCGGATACTGCGATGTGTTCGGGTCGCTGGTCCTCAGGGTTGTCCGTTGTTGGAAGTACGACAGAGGATGACTTTCGGCTTCCTCGGATTGCTGCTGCTGCTGCTGCCGTTGGCGTTGATAATGACGATGGCGGTCCCGTTGCTGCTGGTAGTCTGACTCGGCCGACGAGGACTTGATCGACGACGAAGACTTATCAGAGTACGGTTTTGTGTGCGTCATCGTTTTCGTCTTTGGATCCATCAGTACCACGTGGTGATGGTGGTGGTGCACCGTCTTGATCCGACGGGGCATGAAAATTACGATCCTGAAGACAAGAATAGACCGTAGGCGTGAACAATTAATGAATTAACACTGTTAATTATTATAATATTACAGTGTCACGCTGTAGCTCACTATTTTGTGATTTTTCTATAAATCTATCCCGGAGACTGGGCTGGAGTATAATTGCATACATCGAATATCCGGTGAAATGATATTAAGCTTTGAATTATTGTATGAAAAAGACATTTGCTTAGTGTTATATATTAGTGTTAAATGCATTGATATCCCATGCCATAATACTTCAATACCCGCTTTAAGGCTAACACTAATGTGTTAGTATCTAATTGTAGTATGATTACCATGCCTACGTATGAATACAGTTATTTGAGAAACAAAGCTCTAAATATAAATTCATTCAATTTTGTATTAAATATAATTTTAAATTATAATATTCATAATTTTAATAGTTTTAAAATGTTTAATAAATATATAACTTATGTTTTATTACATTAATATTTTTATAAGAATCATACTAATACAATTATTAACTAACCTATTATTATGTTATAGATATAATTAATATATTATAATAATATAATAGCTTCATTATTTTCAGTATAATTAGCTATTTTATCTACTCTAATTAGATGTGCTTTCCTCAAGCGCAGCATTTTGTTTTTGAGGAGATGTTACTTTTGTACCTACCAAATGTTTATAAATGTATGTAATTGTTAACGCGTCAACACTTTATAACAACAATAAACAAAATATTATTATAATATATTATTAAAGATGCACCACTGATTATCGTACTCCGTGGATAAACGAATTTAGATTTTCAATAATTTTTGTTCCCTTACATTTACTGCTCAATTCAAGATTTAAACATTTTGAACAGTAACAAAGTAGGGGATATACATCTGTTGCAATGCTATTTATTTAAGTATCAGTTTCAACATAATTTGTCTTTTAAGCCCTTAAACAGCTAAAACCATTATTAGTTTTCATTTAATATGATATTTAACTGCGATATAATACGTTAAATATATTTTTCTAGACACACTTTAATATACAATTATATTGACATTAAATCAATTATTACCTATTTTAATTGATGCAAAACTTTTAAAACAGTAAATTCAATTTTCTGCCCACAATATTCTCATGTAAATGTCATTAATTACCATTATTTTAAAATTAAATCGATATTATTATTTCATTTGATGTAAAACCTTTCCAGCTGTTCAAACATTTTTTGCCCACAATATTTTTCTGCAATATAATTTTAAGCACAAGACCGTAGTGTGCAGAAAGAAAAAATATGTATTAATAAATTATTATCGTCTTTATAAAAACAATCTTCAATAATACATATTATTTTCATGCTTAGCCTATTTTTAATTCATGTACTAGCTACATCATGTTAAACTAACTTATGGGTGTCTCATTGTTTTACGACTATACTTCTATTATTTTAGACTTTAGTATTATTCATAGAGTAGATAAAATATTTATTTCAGATCATAATTTTTCAACCGCAGCAAAATTGCTAAAATTGCTATGTAGGTATACAATGGAATAATATAATTTTGTGATTTCAATTTTAATTTACAACTCGTGTCTCGTCGTTAACATTAAAATGTATCAATATATCACTTATTCGTAGAGATTTGGCACACCTGACCGACAAAGACACAAAGTATTATATAACAAAATGTTTATTAAACTTCTAACGTAACGCGTGGTCACGTGTCATTGAAATGCAATCAAGCGATTCTCGATTGAATGACTTAAAATATCTAATACACCAGAACTCGTCACACAAGAGTACATAATTTGTTTTTATTTCAATACTTGTGTCGGATTATTGAACATATAATAGACATTAATGGCTTATAAAAAAAGAAATAATAATAATATTAAACCTGCCAACCAAAGTTATTCAACTAAATGTTAATGTCATAACACTGTCAATTCGCATATTAAACACTTACGTATATTGCATACTATATATTACTATTATAGCCATAAATCAAATTATTCATTTATTAAATTTAACTAACCTAGTAATTTAATTTCGAGTATTATAAACTGCAGAATTTTCAATATTCTTCTCTGACGTAAATGGCTTTCAAAAAATATCTTTAGTGAACTTATAATTCATTAAGTTGTAACTACAAAAATGAGTAGGTAAAGCACCGTGAAACATTATCTTCACTACATAACTTTATTGTTAACTTTTAACTACTTTGAAACGAAACATTTTATCTTTTAATCATACAATGTAAAATCCAAATCTCTAATGTTTTACATAAACATGCAGTTTAATATTATTATATATATAAAGTAATAGAAGTTTGTTGGTCTTGCAGGGGATACAACGTATCATCAGCCGTGCTAATGATTACAACATCGATACCTATATATTATAGCGTAATTTTTGAATTTACATAATAATGTCCATTACCCAATTGGTATTCCAATCCATATAATTATCTGTCTTTAGTTTCAAAAAAATGCTATGATTCAACTAGCGTTAAGATTTGTATAACAGACACCGTTATATAAAACAGCATAACAAATTACTTTAAACCCGTTGATGCGATCAACAGTTTAAAAAAAACAAATATATTTTAAGTTTTAATTTATCGTGATCAGTTTTTGCAAAACATTTTATAATGTATTAGATTTTCAATAAACTTGGAACGTAACATATAGTTATACGCTTGCTAGGTATTCGTTAAAATGTATATTATTATCCTGCTGTGCCGCTGTGGTTCAAAAGAATTTACACTAATTTTGCAGTATTTTGCAATAATTGTTAATATGTACCTATCAAAGGTTGATGCTTACTTGACTAGATATTATGATTAAAATAGTTTTTCTATGAATTCTCAATACGTGTGCTGTGTTAGCATTAATCAAACAATGACATCATTAGTCGCATATATAATTAAGTTTACAACTAATATGGTCCAATCGAGTGCTCGATGGTTTGTTAAAAAAAAAAATATTAACCTCTTATTAGTATTAATACTTATTATTCCCTGCAGTATACTAAATATATAAATGCATAAATAGGCACTGTACATTAATGATAATTTATATATATTTTTTATGATTTTATTTCTATCAGTGCTGTGAATTAAATGCACTAAATAACTGTCTTAATACCCATGTATTATATATTTATATTATAGAAACGATAGTAATATTATGAAAAAAATCCGATTTAAATTCTAAAAATGCAATAAAAGTATACAAATTAAATTACAAATATCAATAATTAAAATGAAAAAATATTTTATTAAATCCAACAAGGTTAAGTTTATTTAATTAATCTTTTTATGAATAATGTATTATTAAAATATTATTTTGTGTTTAAACTTTAAAGTTAATAAATAAAATATAGTAGGTATATTTAAACTATATACAAAAAATACTGCAAGTTATGAATATATATTATATACATTGGAATTGGTATAAATATTAAAAAAAGAGGGATGCGTCAACATTTACAATGTACATTAATCTTCTGATTGGTTCATTCGCTAATAGTAATTAGAGGTGTAAGGAGGAATGTAAAAAGGAGTAGTATTTCTGACATTTTGCTGTGGTACCTTGAAGTTAATTAGACTTCAGAGGTAAAGAAAATCTACTTTTCCTAATAATAATCCATTTAAAAATTTAAACGCAAGATATTATCATGCAGTAGAAGTTATATGATACAAAAGTTGACTAAACTTTAAACCATCCATGAAATCGTAAAAGAAAATGTATAGGTTAATGGTTGCAATATTATTAATAACTTGCCAATCCATTTACATAATTTAACATTTTTTTTTTATTACCTACACAGTTTATAAAATAATAATTTACAATAAGAGCAAATGCTGTACAATAGATGTTTGTTTGATTGTGGATTGGTGAAGAAGCCTTCAATTGAAAGCACTACTGCGTGGGTTAGTTTTAAAATTAAAATTATTTATTTGACAAACCTTCAATATTTTTTAAAAAACACCGATTTGTATAATACAATTTAAATTTAAAAGTAGGTGCTTTAAATTACGTAGTATTCATATTGTTATAAATGAAAGAACGAGAAAAAGTAATTTCTATATTATACTTTATGATACTAGCTATAATGAATTTATTGTTGAAGCCATAATAACAAAAAATCATACAATATATAAATATTTCATACTTTTTATGTTATTATAATAATTTAATAAGTCATCTTTCTTTTGAACAATGATTTGGATTACTTAATAATGATATCTTCGAAATTTACTCAATAGATTTATTTCGTGAAAACATCATTGATCATTCAGCAAAAAAATAAATAAATTATGTGCGTCGTGTAATATAATAATTAACATTAAAATTATTTAGTCCTAAAATTACCAAATTATACCTAACGAGATTCATTATTATCATTAATATTAGTATAATAAAAAATGTTAGAATTTTATATAAAAATATAAGAATGAAAAATGAGTAAAGGAATTTTGTAATTTCAAATTTCAATGGGCAAGAATATTTTATGAAGAATTGATGTTCAAATTTTTAAATTAGTCAAAGTTTCAAAATAAGATTTTTAACAAACTGTTAATAAAGTTTCGTTTATTCTGTATGAATATAATATAACTAATTCGAATTAAAAGAGATTTTACACAGTTCTCCCATGCTGTATACTTTAAGAATATATTATGTGTCTACCATATAAAAATAATAATATAACAACAATATTGTGTGTAACAATATATTAAAATAATTATTGACTCATTATTTTTAAATTGAACATGTGCTTAATATACCCTCATTTAAGTAGGTATAACAGTCTAGAAATCTATAATATATTATTTTTTAATATTTCATTATGGAATTTTGAATTATTGTGAACCTTTTTAACGATGATATGTGTTTTCTAAATAATTAATGAATATCTAATAAGTATGTATCGAGTAGCCGAGTAGGCATCTACTTTTTAAATGAATAACTGTCGAACGTCGAGATCACAGTTATGAATTTAATATTATCTATTTTTTTTTAAATTAATTGTTAATTTTGTTTCTAAAATATCTATCTACTATTTTATATTTCATTAATTAAGTCGTATTTTAATTGTAAGTATTTACTATAAAACGAATTATAATATCCATGAACTACGCATACCAGATATACGAGCTTATAGCTCAGTTGGTATAAGCATCAGCTACTATATTATCATTGTAATTTATTGTAATTATTTAGTTATGATTAATTTGACTGAAATAAATAAATAAATAACAAATATATATTATATAATATTATTTATTATTATTTGTTATTATACAAACATCGGAAAGATTTTATTTTTAAATTTAGAACTATTAGTTCTTGTAAAAGCTTACCTTTTGTCTTCGCATTCGACCAAATGAGTGAAATGTTGTACTACGATCACGATCTGCCAACATAAAAAACCACAGTCATAATAATACATGCAGGCGTGTTGCAGTCTGCTGCAGTTGCATACGCATGTGATGGACATCACGCAGCCGTTGCAGATCGTTACAAAATTAAAACTAAGTATAGGAATTTTTTTTGCAAAAAGAAAAGAAATCCCATACGTAAACTTACGACAGCCAAAAATTGCAAGGTCTCGGGACGGCGAGCCATGTTGACGTGACGACTATTGGAGATCTATATGACTGGCCACAGCACGCATTTGCCGGACCTCGAACGGTTATTACATAGGTAACTTATTAAAAACCGCTTTGATTTGTGTTTAACCATCGCTCCCACACGGAGGGTGTCACGGACCACTAACCGTAGAAATCTAACACCACCACCACCACCACTGCCACCACCTTCCGCTGCGATTGCTGCAGTGTACTCTCGTCGGATGGTTATATTTTTTTTTTCATTCATTCTTGCTCATTTCACTAGTCACACTTTATTAAATACAGTATATATGCATCGTTATTTCTTTGTGTCACGTACTGCTGCAGAGGCTGTATACCGGACCTGTTACGTATATGGACTTTTCAACGTAGGTACTCATATACCTCTAATAACATATAATTGTACATTTTCGTCACAAGTACCTATATATTATCTACTTCAAAAAACAAAAATTAAACTCAACACTTTCTTTTCGTATGCGTATAATTGTTATTGTATTGTTAATTTTAATTCAAGATTGTGATGATCGATTTTCGGGCTTATAATTGCTTATTATATTTTAATAAATAATTATCGAAATTACAACTTGTGCTCATATGTCTGTAAATGTGTTTATGAAGTAATATTATTATGCAGATAGAACAGTGTAGTTTTAATAATATTATATTCGTTGTAAAAGTGTAAGTACGACATAGGATACACATAAATGAACGTAGTGTTGCGCACATGCCCCGGCGCTTCCCTACCATAAAAAAACAATCTCCTGTATTTCTTTATAATGTAGCCACAATGTATATTTTGCGCATTCTCTGGATACGGAGTGAATAAATAGTGAGATATTTAAAAAAAATATATATCTCAACTACACATTTATGTTCAATTTACAATATTGTATTCATATTACTGTTCCGATACGGTTTTGTAACTATAACATATGTAGATGCCTCAGACGATTTTCAAGTATTTAAATCATAGTTCATGACTTCTGAAATGTTCAAAACTTTTCAACAGTTTTTGTAAAATATAATATTATGCCTATAGTTTTTACTTTATATGAATATTTAATAAATTTATGATATAATGATAATATACAGATATAAAATAATATTAACTACCTACTGAAAATTTATTCACTTTAAATCAATAACTCATTAGGTTTGTCCTTGTATACATACCCACCTGGTTACTAAATATTTTATATTCCACTATATAGCATACATATACTTAAAAAGTAATTTAAATATATGAATACCTACTTAATAGAAGTTAATACTTTAAGTATTTACATAAATAAATAATTCCCGAAAATTCGAAACTTCAAAATATATTTTAAGCTTTTAAATGTAATTTAGTTGTAGAAACTAATATTATATCACATAAATTTAGCGATAGTAAAATAATTAAAAATATTTTAAAATTAAATCGAACCACAAACTATTTATTTTTATGCAAAAAAGGAAGACAGCTAGTTTTTTATCATACAATTTTACAAACCTTAAACATTTTTTATTATTATTACTTTATTTAAAAACTTTTGATTTTTATTATTTTTTTTATAATATTACTTTTAATTTTGCCATACATAATTTTACCACAATTTTCGAAATAAAGAAGGAATTGCGCCTACTAGTATTACAAAGAAAAACCAGCCACGGGTACTTACCCAACTTTCACTTAGTTATAACCGTTCCATTAATGTTAAAGCATAGTTCAAAATCAAAACATTTTTTTATGGTTTTTCAATCTTGGTTTCATTTCTATAGGTACTAATATTTTTACGACAATGTAAAAATTAAATTAAGACGGCGCAGTGAGTAGGCAATTTAGGGCCATTGATTAAAATGTGTCTGTTTAACAGGGGTTAATATAGTATTTTAAATTTAATTTCCCAGTGGTAATACAACAGAAATTAATAAATTATTCTTTTCCTTGTGGTGTTTCATGTAATAATTTATTTATTTATCACTAATACATAGCTTATAAAAACAAATTAAACCTATTTTGTAAGAAATATATATTTTTAGACATATAACCACTTTATTAAAATGCAGATTATAATCGTTTTAAGTTTTATGCCATTGTCTATTGGTTGTATATAATTATTAAGTTGTACGTCTTGCAAATATATTGTAAAAAATCTGCATTTATTAACCATTTTGTACAGATTGTATGAAATGAAAGCAATTTAACCACAAGAATATTTATGAAGCATTTAATGTAAATAGGTTTGACATATTTTGATTAAAACTACCTAAATACAGCTCCTCAGAATACGCAGTTTAATTAAAAACATTTGAAAACCTTTTTATCATACTGTTCATTTATCATTTGATTGACTTTGCTTAATGAATGTAGTGATTAGACACTCTAAATTTACATAACAATCATTGAGATTACTCACCCCTATTTTAGATTGTGGGATAAATATATTGTTTTTATAACGATGTTTGTATTTATTTATTTATTTATTTATTTATTTATTTATATATATATATATATATATGAAGACACTAGTTACAGTAAAAAAAAATGTTTCCATCTTCTACTTTGAGGATGGTAGTCTATTGTAACAAATGAGTTTTTGTTGGAGGCAGTGAGGCACTAAGGAACTAAGTGCTTAAGACACTAAAAAAACATTTAATGAAAACGGGAATTTTAAGCGAAACTAGTTTACGACAAAGTTGATTTTAGTTTTTTGTTGTAATTTAAAAATAAATAACATAAAAAACTTGAAATTATACTAAATATTATTATTTGCATTTCCAAGGCATGAAATAATTCCCAAAATATAACAGTTTGTAATATACCCTGTTCCATAGGGAAAACACCAGATTTACGTGGCAAAAACGGTATTACCCGTGACCGCCTGGTTACTTCTCTTTTGGAACAGGGTATACAAACTTTTTTTTTTAAATGATAACCACGTTTTTTCTATTTCAGATTGATAAGCAGATGGTTTTTTGAAAACTGTTTGTATCTAAATGTATAATACAATTAGTTTCTGAGGTATTTATCTTTATGTACTAAGAATAATAGTTTGAGATAATAAGTTTAGAATATATGGAGGCTATATAATGAGTGGACAATTATAGCAACTAGGTAAAAATCTTCCAAGTATAATAATACCAACTAGGCAATTCAACATTTTATTTAAAACTTTTAATGAAGTTTATTATCCTTAGTACAGTTATAAAGATTAATAGCTTAGAAGCTACTCGTTCTAATTTTCATCGACATTTAAAAAAAAGTCAACAATGTACAATATAAATAAGGTTCTCAATTGAAAAAAAAGAATTTTGTACAACCCAAGGACACTCTTAGACACACCTAAATTGCAAAAAAAAAAAGACTATTTATTAGAATATAATATAGCCAATCAAAGTTTTTAATAACTCGAAAAACCAGAATAAAAGAAATGCATTATTAAAGGCTAAAAGGGGGTGTGGTAATACTATTAGTGGGGGGCGGAGTGGCCGAGCGGTCTAAGGCGTCGGTTGCGACGCTGCCGGCGCCGGTTCGATCCCGTGGTCACGGGTGGCATTTTTCTTCGGGGAAGTCACGGTGTCCAGAGAACAAATGCCGCCATCCCCCACCCGGGCATGGCAGATACCTACGGGTGCCCAAATCGAAAATTCTGCCAAAACCCACACACGTGTCAACAAGCTACGGTTCCCCCCTACAGTACCACAGGCTAATGACCTTTATTGTCGAAGCCTCAACCCTAATGAAAAAAAAAAAAACTATTAGAGAATCATCCTGCATATATTATATTATTACTTTAACAAAACCGTTAGTATTTTGCACAACCAGTAAAAGACCAACTGATAAACAGAAGATTTTGTGTAACCGACATATTACACACCTATTAAATTAGTTGTAAAGTTAAAGTTATAAAGCGTAAGTAAATAAAATATTTTTAACATCAAATGAGCATGCTAATATTATGTTAAAAGTATGATTAAACAAAGTCAATACATTTCTAAAATTACCAACGAAAGAACTTGATTAACATAAACACATAATATTCGGTTATGTATTTATAGTAATAAAAATATAGTATAGTATATTAATAGTTATAGCTGGTATGTTGTGTAAATTGATATTAAATACATACACGAGATCTGTTATCGACGGTACCTGCATACGAATATTCGACTAAAAAAACAGTCAGGCTCTTACCCCGATATTATCACCAATACAGTAATACTACATAAATAAACGAATACATTAAAATAATTTTTTTTTAAGTTAGTCATTCAATATCTGACTTCGTTCAAACTTCAAAAACGGAAACCATAGGTAATTATTAATGGTATTTTATTAAATTATTGCGTAATAAATAAAAAGGAAATTGTGTAGGTAGGTATGAGGTAATGATTATAATAATTTAAGAGACTATGTTACAAAAATGACGTAGACCTCTGCTTATTCCATTATTGCTATGCATTTTGTTATTTAGTATTTGCCAGTTTTACATCAATATATTAACATAATACTTCCGTCTCACCTACCTATATTATCATTTTAAACGTAAAATTAATAATAAAAAACAATACATTTTTAACTAATCGTTATTCTTCAGCAAACTTGCAATAATAATATTTATTGTCTAACTGGTATTGACAGAAAAATAAAACGATTATATTCGTAACCTTTAAAAAATAAATCAAAGGACCAAGGTTTTAAATGTAAACACTTTCACTTCACAATAATATACTATAGTAGCAAAACAAATAACTTAATAGGTACTGACTGTATTCATCTTCACTAATTGCTAATCAAGTATTAGATTAAAATAATGTCTTAATTTACACACTAAATATTGCACACATATAAATTGTAATATGCATATGGCATTGATTATAGTATTATAACTATTAATTAAATATAAATAAGTATATATTTTGGAAATTAAATTATCAAATAAAATACAAAAAATACATAGCATAATAATAAATTAACTCATCTAGTTAAAAAAAAGTATTAAAAATTAT